CTTTCAGCCGGTTGTACTGCAGGTAGTACGGCTTCCAGTCCCGGCTGCACTCCCCCTGGGGCACTGGGGGGGTTGGAGGACGCAGCGCGGGCCAGCAGAGGGACAGAAGGGGTAGACGAGGAACAGGGGCGAGGACGAGCAGGAGGGGGGCAAGGAGGGGGGAATGACGGGGATCGATCGATCGAGCTCTCGGGCCACTTCGGTGCTACTCCCCCTCGGCTGGAGCTGACTTGCATTCAAAACTCTAGTCTGGCCTAGCTGCGTTCACCTCGCTGGAAAAAAAAGGATCGCTGGCGTCATGTGGCGCTCTGGCCCTACCTGCATCGACTTCCCCACGCGGGGGTACGCGGGCAGTGTAGCACCTGCGTTCACGATGGTTTCGTTTGGCCAAAGCCTAAACGGTTATATTGTTATATTCCCCCCTAGGCCGTAGTGCTCTGGCTTCCTCCTCCTCTTTCCTTTCCCCTCTTCCGCAGCCTTCTGTGCTTAGAGCTGTGCTTTTTACGGGAGGGGCCCCTGGCCCCTAATCTCATCATGAAGGGGCGGGGAGAATCCCACCCCGCCTGTTTGCTATTGCTCGCCGCGGCCGAGCTGGGCGCCCTGCCTCCGGGAGGGCGCACGGCTCCCGTGGCTGGAGCGGCCATTGGGGCTGCCGTCGGGATGGTGGGGACCGTGGACTTCGTCCCCGCCGACGGCACCGACCCCGCCCCAGAGCAGGTAGAGGAGGATGTCTGCATGGAGCCTGTGGGCTACATCGTGCCTCCCCCTGCTGGGCACATCCCCGCGGCCTCGCCCGTGGAAGACTTTCCCCCCGCGCCTTCCTCGTCGGAGTTCCCGGCTGGAGGAGGGGAGGAGGGGGGCAATCGGACAGAGGGGAGGACTCCAGATGATCATTCCTGGAGTGTCCAGCGGACCCTCTCCCAGCTGGCGGAGGGGAGAGCTCCAGATGATCATTCCTGGAGTATCCGGCAGACCCTCTCCCAGCTGGACGCATACCTCTCAGCCTGGGCGCCCCGCCGAGCCCCGGAGGCGCACGGCCGGCGCCGGCACACCGGGGCTCCGGGTGAACCCCCTGGAGAGGACCCGTTCCCGGGATGGCCGAACCACCTCCTGGACGGCCTCTTGCAAGGAGGGGCATGGTTAGGGCTGATGATGTTCGGGAGCGCCCGCTGGAAGGGGTTCCCCCACTGGCTCCAGTACCTCCTGGTCTTTTTCTACCTCCTCTCCGCCCTGGTGGCCTTGGACCTCCTCGCCCTCCTGGCCTATGCCCTGGCCCTACTCTCGCGGGGCAAGGGCCCTCTGCGCAGGAGCGAACACCCGCACCCCTTGAAGGACTCGAGGCTGGTGTGGGGAGGGCCCGCCTCGGGCGGGACCACGCCCAACAAGTTCTTCCAGGCTTGGATCCGGGCTCGCGGGGGGCATTCCAGCCGCCGCCCGCATGATCTGCTCGCCATCATCGAGGAGGGAATGGTCCGGATGCAACGCAAACCGGGCTCCACGCTGCCCGCGACGCGGAAGGGAGGGCAGGTGTACCTCTACGGTGCCGTGCTGCACTGTGCGGATCCCTCCCTCCGTCAGCGGCTGGAGAACGCTCGGGAGCGCGCCGTCTACCTGGCGCGGGAGTTGGATGCGGTGATCCCCCCAGACATTGTGGCGGTCAGCTACCACTACACCGGCGTTGAGGAGGGGCTCGTCCTGAACCTGGAGAGGGCTCTTCCCTATCAAGGCTTCCTCCTGGGCCTCGCCTGCCTCATCGGCCGCGCCCTTGGTGGCGCCCACCGACTCCTCCGCTCCCTGTCCCGAGCCATCGGGATAGACCTACTGGGGGCGTGGTGCTGTCGCGAAAGGAGGACGGCAGCCGGAGCGGGGAGGCCCCGGGATCGCCAGCTCGAGTCGGAGAGCGAGGGGCCCACCCTCGGGACGTGTGGTGGGGACCGCTTGGGCTGGCGCCAACCCGGAAGCACCCTGGGCACTCGCGGCCTCCGCGCCCCGTGCCCGGAGCCCCCGGACGAAGAAGCTTCTGGTCGAGGACGAGCCCCAGTCGGACATTACAGGATGGGAGCGACTGGGCGGGCGCGTCCTGGCCCCCCTATGCGCTCGGCACAAGCGCATGTACCGGCTTGCCCGCCAGCACCTCCTCTGCGCCTTCGCGGGCCCCCCCTCGTGCGACGAGATCGGGGCCCTGCAGGTGGAGGGGGGGTTCCTTTGCGCCCCCCATGCGGCGCAGTCCGCCGGCCCCCCCCAGGGGCGGCCGGGAGAGGGACTGCCAGCCTCCTCGAAGGACCCCCCTCCGGGCCCTCTAACCCCGCTGCCTCCCATCACCCACCCGCGCGATGCGGTTGGCCGCCTCTTCCTGGGCCACATTCGCCGCGAGGAGGACGCCCTTCGGGGGTGTGGGAAACAGCCCCCGGCCGAGCACTATCTTGTCTTCCGGGGGGAAGGGGAGGAGCCGCCAGCAGGCCACCCTCCGGGTGAGGCGGTGGTCCACCTCGCCGCCCTCGGCCTTCGCTACTCCGTCCCGATCGGTCAGATCCGTCGCCCGGGACAAGCCCTCCTTCCCCCCCCGGGAGGGATCCCTGCCTGGTTCGTCGAAGCGACTAAATCGGAATGGAGCCCCCTGACAGAAGAAGGGAAGACCCCCTCCGGAGGGGCAGGCGGGGTCCAGGAGTTAGTATTGCTGCTGAACTCCCGGGAGCTGGACCGATGGCGCCATCGGAGTGCCCGGCGGATGGACGAGGAGCCCGGCCAATCCTCTGGTGGGGAAGAGTACCCCCCACGGGGGAGGAACACCCGCCGGGAAAGCTCACCACGCCCTCCGGCGCGGGAGGGAGGGACTCCCTCCACAGGCGCCTCCCGCGACCCGTCGGGGGAGCCCTCGGCGGTGGTCTGGCTCCTCGAGGCCCTCCTCTCCGCCATCCAGGACGGCGTTGGAGTGGAGGCCGCACTTGAGGCGGCCCGGGACTACTACGGCGAGGACCCGGACACCTGCCTGGCGTTGGTCACCCCGTGCGCGGAGGAGTTGGAGGCGACCGCCCTCCGCAACCCCGCCTCGCTGGAACGGGAGGAGCAGGCCGCCCGGAAGGGATCTTCACCAGCCTCCCCGAGGGGGAATACCGTGACACGCGCCCTGCGCCGTCGGGCGGCTCGAACCCCCTCCCGCCCGCCGCGCAGTGGGATGCCATTCATGGGATCGCCCCACCTAGGGGCGCCACAGGACGCGCCGGGGCAGGGGGGGAATGGCAGGCGGGGATTTTCACTAGCCCGAACACCCGCCTCTTGGTTCAGCACCTCAACCTCTCCCAGCGCATGGAGGCCGACGACTCCAAGAACGTGGAGGGCTCCCTGGGCTACCTCAAGAAGACGGAGTGCCGGCTGGCGGTCTACACCGCCCGGGGGTTCAACGCCTTCTACGTCGCCCTTTGCCCGGGCCTCGTCGGAAGGGAGCTATGCGACGCAGCCCGGAGGGGGGGAGACGGACGCAGGATGATCATGCACGAGGGAGGCTGCCCCGTCCTGGTCGTGAACCGGATTGCCCACGCCATCGCGGTGGGCTTCTGGGGGGGCCGCGACCTGGAACGGATGGCCAAGTGGTCCCTGGGAGCATCGGACTTCCCGCGGACCACTCGGGAGGAGTTCGAACGGTTCATCCCACACTCGGACCCCACCTACATGGAGAAGCGTCCCGCCTGGACCAAGATCCTCGCCGTCTGGACCGACCAGGCCCACCGGAGCATCACCACCTTCTGCCTGTTCTACGGCCAAGACCATGAGAAGGAGAGACGGGACGCCTTGAGGAGGCTGGCGCAGCTCAACCTCGATGACCCCAACCAGTGGACAGAGGGGGACCTCTTCGCGATCTGGGAGGAGCTCCACTGGGACTGGTGGGACGGCATCCGACTGATCGCCCAGCGGGCCCTCCACGACCTCAGAAACCAGAACCCCACCGAGGAAGAGTTCAGGCTCCACCTCTTGGAGGGGCCGGGAGGCCAGCCGCGATTTCAGATGCCCCTCTCCTTCCAGCTGGACCACCCCAACGGGTTCTTTCGAGCCCGGGTGGTGTCCCGGAAGTCTTGGGAGCAACGGTCCGCCCTGTCTGCCCTCTCGCGGACGAGCAGAGCAAAGGTGCCACCCCCGCCCCCGGCGGGGCGCGCCGGCCAGGACGACAACCCGCAGTGCCCCATCGGCACGGCCCTGGAGGCGGAGGAGCATAAGGCGGCCCTGGCTGGTGTCCCTAAGAACCCGCAGGGCAGGAGGATTTGCATCCCCTTCAATTGCCACAGCACGCGCTGGCGGGGGAGCGGCTGCCGGGACGCCCACCAGAAGATCAATGATCTGAAGGGCCTCCCCATGGAGACCAGGTTGCTCTTCTTCCGCTTCGGAGGGTTCCACAAGCTCCCCCTCGTGACGCCCGCAGCGGTGGATGCCCGCATGGCTGCACTCCGGAAGGGACCGAAGCCCCGCCCGAAGACCCGCGGCGGGCAGAGCGCCAACCGGGGCACGGAGACACCCCCGGGGGACCCCCCCACCACGGGGAGGGGGAAGCCCGAGCAGAGCGCCACACAGGCGCCCGCCCCGGGGGTGCTGGCGTGCATTACCTGCCCGCGCCGCACGGTTTGGGACACACTCGACTTCGGCCAGTACCTCCACCCCACGGGGCCCCATGCCCATCTCATGCGGGAGAAGCTGGGGCTGCAGGAAGGCGAACCGGAGGGAGGGCAGTGCATGCTCCTGAGCACCGCCGCCTCCTCGCTGTGGCGGCAGCACGGCACCCCCCCTCATCGGGGGGAAGTGCACGCCCTGGCCACCCGCTACCGGGCGGAGCTGCTGGAGGCGGCTGGCGATGCGCCGCCGGCCTCCAGTTCGCCCCTGGACGACGCACTCCGGGCGGGAGCCGCCGTCCCGCACTCGGGAAGAGACTACCGAGAGTTTCCCTTACTGGGAGGCCCCGCCCTCACCAGCGTCGACCTCCACGTGTGCACGCTCCAGGACACCTACCTCCGCGAGGCGCGGATCCCCAGCCGCGCGAGCGGCGACTCCCCCGATGCCTGGCTGTTC